CATGTTGGAACTGTCTCAGCTGGTGCAACCCCTAAAATGTTCGTAGTTTTAAATCTCATTCTAAGGTGGAAAAACACACAAACAAGACAGTGTTTGAACTTTCACATAGCTGGTACAACCCAGTGCCGTGCAAAAGTCCTGAAACTTGTGCATGTAGCTGTGAAGCGGCATTGGGATCATGGATCAGTCTTAGGATGCCAGCTATGGTCAGCCTGCATAGTACAAAAGTCCTTAGAGCTCCTTATAGAGGTGTGCCAGAGGGAAAGAGTCAGAATCTTTCAAAGCACATTTCCTCTTCCACTCTCTCCTGTCCTTATGACCGTGCATCTCCCCATGGAGCCCTGGTGGATGGAGCTAAAACACAAACTCTCCTCATCAGAGGGATTGATAATGCTCAGCCACTAAATGCCCTCTTAAATGGGCTACTCATGACAGAAAACAGAAAATGCTGTTTCCACAATACAGCTGATGCGTTTGTTATGAAGTTTTAAAAAGCGTTAAAAGAGGTGCATAGAAACTATAAAACCAACAATAACGGAGGCTGTTCCCTTAAAAAAAAAATTGTGTAATAAATATCTTTCATACAGTTAAAAAAAAGATATACACGTGGAAAAGGTTTATACTATCACACCACATAAAGGCATCATAAAATTAATAAATTTTAATCCTCAATCCAAAATCTTCCATAAAACAAGACATCCTTGCTTTATAAGCCAAATAATTGTAATCACCCAGTTCACTGTGTGGACTGCCTGTTTTCACTGGATGAGTTGAAAATTGAGGGCCACTGTCTCCTCTTTTTAAAAATGTGTCTAAATCTGTTTAATCTCAACAAACATGGCAGCAGGCACCCCTGCAAACCCTGATTTAATGCTCCTTCGCCATGTCTTAAATCGGAGTGTTTTGCTTTGATTCTTTTTCAGGCCAATCTAAGGATGTAAATATTGTCTGTGTGCCGAAAGGCAGGCTGTGCAAGAAATAACTTATTGTATAAGCGACAGTGCCATTAGGGCGAACATAGCATTATAATTTAAAAATAATGCAAATTTTAAAAGTAAGAGATGTGGAAAACAGACAGAACAACAACACTCAGGTTGAGGTCAGACCAACTTTACATTTCTAACTGCATAGTTTTGCATGACAATTTCAGTGATTGTGTATGTGACCTCAACTCACTGTGTTTGTTAGTCTTTGCACTGTATTTGCTGCTGATATGATTTCCTTTATGATCTGTTGCACCTTCCTGTCATTGCATATGTTTTGTCTGCACAGTTTCAAACAGATTCTTTAATTATCTGTTTGAACAATAAGTCTGAACCCCCGTTTGTTTGCCCAAATTTCTCCTCCAGCTATTGCATTTTGTATTTAGTACTGACATCAGAGACATCATGGCCTCTTGTCTCTGGAGAGAGGACTCAGGTGCCTCACATTATCTGATCTGATTAGGGAGTGGGTGGAACTAAAAGCCAGACTGAAAAGGTTTTTGGTAACATCTCAATGTGTGTCTCAAAACTGAGGTTTGAATCAAATATAACACCTAGATTTTTAACTTCTTTGCATAAATTAAAAGCTAGAGCTTGGAGTTTTTCTCTCTTTGTGGACCTGTACCAATAACTAAAACCTGAATTTTGTCCTGAATTAGCTGCAAAAAGTTGTCTGCTATCCAGGACTGGGCGTCTAAAATACAATTAAAAAGGGCATCAATGGGCCTGGTGTCATCAGGAGACACTGCAATGTAAAGCTGCGTGTTATCAGCATAGCTGTGAAGGTTGATGCCGTGTCTCCTGATGACATCCCCCAATGGCAACATGTAGAGATTAAAAAGTGTTGGACCTAAAATTGAGCCCTGGGGAATGCCACATTCCATTTAATATGTTTTTTCTAATAAGCATTCCCCAGAGCTAAAATAAATTTCCTGCCACTGATACGTTTTGAACCAGTTAAAAACAGTACCAGAGATGCCAATGAGGTTATGGAGTCTGTTTAAGAGAATTGTGTGATCCACTGTGTCAAAGGCTGCACTCAGGTCCAACAGAACTAAAACAGAGATTAATTTCTTATCTATGTTGGACCTAAAGTCACTTACAATTTTGACCAGTGCTGTCTCTGTACTGTGATTTTCCCTAAAACCAGATTGAAATATTTGATGGATATTTTTAAAAGTCATAAAATAGTTTAACTGGTGAAAAAAAATTCAAAAATTTTCCCAAAAAATGACAGGTTGGATACAGGTCTGTCATTATCAGGTATTGCTGCATCCAAGTTGTTTCTCTTCAGAAGGGGTCTGACACAGGCTGTCTTGAAAGCGGTGGGGAAGACCCCTGTCTGAAGAGAATAATTAACAATATTACTATGATCATCTTTAAAATTACTAAAAGAGGTTTTAAAAAGGGATGTAGGGATAGGGTCTAAAACACATGTCACTAGTCTAAGCTGGGAGACAACCTTTTCAAGCATTGCAGCATCGACCAGGACAAACCTCTCCAGTGTTTCCTCATTCAAAGGTTCAAAAGAGTTTAAGCTAACATGATTATGGTTCAAAAATGTTGATCTAATAGAATCAATTTTACTTCTGAAGTGGACTGCAAGGTCTTCGTTTGACAAATCAGAGCTAAAAGGTTGGTTAAAAACAGGGTTAGTTGATTGGTCAGTTGTTGAGAAAAGGGTTTTGGGGTTATTGTGATTGTCTGTGATTAATTTTGAAAAATGCTCCTGTCCTGCTTGTTTTACTGCCTTGTTATAAGTGATTTGTTCCTAAATTTTCTGATAGTTGACTGTTCATTTGTTTTTTCTTCATCTTCTTTCAGCAATTCTGCATTTTCTTTTTAAGATGAGAACACCATTTGTTCTCTAAGAACAAATATATATTTGCTTTAACTTTTTTTTATCTTGAGGGGTGCAACAACATCAAGTGCTGCTGTGAGTTTCTGGTTAAAATCATCAACAATAAAATCACATGAAGAGGGTAAAACAACTTCTGGGACATCACTCAAAATCTCATTAAAATTAGCAGCCACTTCAGAAGTAAGATAGCGTTCCCTGACAGCACGCTGGATGCTGGATAAAATCCTTTACATTAAAAAACACACAGAAATGATTGGATAATCCCACATCCACAACTGAGGAAACAGTAGCTGATAAATCATAGGTTATTACAAGATCTAAGGCATGTCCTCTGTTGTGGGTGGGCTTTGACACATGCTGGTTAAAATTCATACAGTTCATGAGATTTATAAACTCGGAGCTAAAAGAGTCTGATCCATTGTCCACATGAATATTAAAATCCCCTACAATGAGGATTCTGTTGTATTTGGAATGGATGATGTAGAGCGGTTCTTAAATTTCACTGATAAAAGAGGAGCACCCTTTGGGTGGCCTGTAAACAATTAAACACAATATAGGAGGGCTGCTAAAAACAATGGAGTAATATTCAAATGAAATAAAATCACCAAATAAAACCTCTTTAAAACCATGTAAAGCTAGGCGAATTGTTGCTGATTAGGTCCAGAGTATGATTTTATGGTGTGTAGGCATGTGCCGATATGAAAAATTTGATATCATGATATTGGTGGCCCAATAACAAGGCGAAATAATCCAAGTTTTCCTTACCGTTGGATGGATTTAAAAGCATGTGCCTTTAATGATTTCATTCAGACTATTCAGATAAGCCGAAAACAATAGCCCTCTGATTCAGAATATTTGCTGTCCCAAAAATATAATGCTCTCAACCTTGACAGCTTACTGTACAGTTTATGTACCCAAGTACATCTCTATATGTGCATTTTTGGGACACATAAAAACAGAATGAAAGTTTGCTGCTCCATTTGACATGCTGTCATGATCCAATACTAGTGTTTTTAAAATATCAGTGTAACAGTCTGCTCTGCCCTCTCCTGCTCTGCTGCTCAGCCACACCCCTCATCAGCTAACTGCTTCCACCTGATGCTCTCACCTGCTCATCATCTCCAATTAGGCCAGTATATATGCAGCTTCTTTCCCCTCACTCTTTGCCAGATTGTCTTTGCTCTCATGCCTGACTCTCCAGCGTTTATCCTCGGACTGCTTACCTGGTATCGACCTGATCTGCCCCTGACCTTTGCTTCTCGCCTCAGCCCCGGTAAACCTACCTGCCTTCTGTCCTTGACTACGAGCTTTGCCTGCCTGGTTCCTGCTATTCGTCTGCCTGCAGCTGAATGTCACTCAGCCTGTTCCTGCTCTGTTGAGATCCCCCTTCTCGTCAGCTTCACCTCGCCAACTCACCTCCTCTGCCGACGTTGTTTCTGCCAGCTCCTCTGCAAGCTCTGGATCCTCACCCAGTCCTCACCTGAACCACTCTCCAAGAAATCTTCCTCCAGCTGTGAGTTGAGCGTTTTCCCCTTCACTACACTCGTAGAGCAAATTAAGACTGTGGACAATTCCCTGCTCACGAGTTCAAAACTCTTGCCTGACCTGTGGTCCACTGCTATTCTGCTCGCCTATCACCCGGAAGACCCTTGTTCGAATCCTGCCATACCCACCTGCTATACTCTGCTGCTTCATTGGATTTGGTGTTCAATAAAGACTGTTGTTAAAGTGAACCTGCTTGTTTGTGCTGCAATTGGGTCCAGTCAATACCCGTTACAATCAGATCATATCTCCTCCACTGTAAGAAGCTAATGAATGGATGGGATGCATTGTGGACACGTTTCAGCAGTGCTTTGGGTGGCCGCAATGCATTGTGGGTGGCCACACATTTTGTTGTAAAATTTCTTCATTTTCTCTTTTAATGTTCCCATTTTTGTTAGGCTGGCATTAATGTACTTAAATCAAAAGGTTTTTTTTATTTGGGACTACTTTTGTGGTGGTTTGTTTGTACCATTTGCTACCAAGGCTTTGACACCATGGGTAAGACGATTATTACAGTACCTTACGATTTCATCATCGTGGTCGTTTAATATCGCATATCGCGATTAACTTGTATATCGGCACATCCCTAATGGTGTGTTGTCCGGTGCTGGTGATCACAGGAATAGGGAGTCTAATCTTGCTGGTGCTAGGACCTGGGGGACATCAATAGTAGTAGGACTGATCAGAGGGAGTTGACAGGAGTGTGGTGACTTGTTTACCTGCACCAGAACAGGTTGAAGTTGACCAGGCTGGTGACAGCCAGGTGTGCAGCACCAGCCGCCGACTGAAACGCCTGGTCTGGTCGCGATGACTTCAGTGGCTGTGCTGGCGATGTTGCGGACTGTAGCTCTGGGAAAACGGCAAGTTATTGCTGAGCCAGATCGGATGTTCTGGATAATGGAGTCCCCCATCACCAGAGGGGTAGGCTGGGGCTGTGGGTCACCTGGCAGCACAGGGCTCCTTCCCCTGGATGAGGTGGGCCAAAGCAGTGGGCCAAAGCAGTGCGCGGTGTCCATCTGCTCCCAGCCGGTGGCAGAGGCTCCGACTGGACCCGAGGACAGGAGCTTCAGTGATGCCGGGGCAGGATCGGCAGGAGGCTCCGAGTTGTTGGATGGGTTCTTGTTCATTTTTCCCAGTACTCCGAACCTGTTACCCAGTCGGATGGCCTCTGGGGAGGAGTAGAGCCAGATGGAGGAGTTCGGGAGTGGTTCCCATAGGTTTCTTACCCCTGATGACGGTCCAGGGTTCCCTGGGAGCAGGCATGGAACAATTCCAAACTTTTGGTTTTGCACCAAGCCGGGGCCAATCCAAGTCATCTTCCTGGATGGACTTAACTATGAGTTGCACTGAATTGGAGATGAGAGAAGGGCCAGGCCAGGGCAGAGTAGTGTTGTTGTCATGGAGGTTGCCAAAGAGTCCATTTCATGTTCAGAGTCTTGGATTTGGTAATGGGTGGAAATCCGACCTTTCAGTTCGGTTATTTTCTGGGTTAACCAAAGGCAACCAGCACAGTCGGGTGGAGAGGTAAGTTGAGGCATTATTTTGTTGGGACTTGTTCCCAGTTGTTAAGGCAAACAAATCTGTCCTGGTGTGATGGGCCCGTTTCGATTCAAAAATCTTAAAATCATCGCACAGTTAAAAAGTGAACTTTGGTGTCAGGCCAGACCAGACCTTTTAAAAGCCCATCAAAACAGTAGAAATGGTCAAATGCTCACTTTAAAACTATTAAAAAGAGCACAAACTTTGGCGCAATCAGTCAGCAGCTGTAATGGCGTGTGACGTCCTGAACAGGCTTCTATCAATGATTAAAATGATGAAGCACTATATACTAGAAATGAGAGTACGACAGAGCGAGTCGTATGTTCTTCCACACTGACACGACAGTTCTGATTAGGAATGTCTGTTTAATAAATACTTTTTTTTCTCATGCTGTTACCTGCTGTGTCACTGTTGCAACATGATAACAAGCATGGAAACACATTTGCATGTCATATACAGTACTCAAGATTTCCCAGGGCAGCCTTTTTCTCTGCAGTACACAAGGTTTTTCAGGTGAAGTACTTGAAGATGTGCAGCAGCAGTTGAACAGACTTGGACCCTGAGTTTAGACTGACCTGATTTGCAGTGCATTTTGTTAACTGTTTCATGCTTGCAGCTGTGGCACACTTGGTTGTGTAAGCAAGGAGCTGCATGATTTCCAGTCTTGGTGGGCTGCAGTCTTTGTTACAGGCTGCAGTCAGCTGTTGGCCAGAAAGAGTTTATATGATCCACATCTGGGTTCAGATGCCCAGTCGAGACAGCTCATCATCCTGTCTGCTGAGTCAACAACCCCTTATCTTGGAGCTTTAGCTTTTTGCAATACTGAGTTGTGTGATAATCACATGTGGTTGGACTTTCTTGCACAGCTGCTGGCAGATGTCTTCTAGGCTGAACTGATTTGTTGTTGTACTGTTGTACTGTTTCACTGCACCACCATGTTCTTGTCCTACTCTGACTGTGAGTGCTGTTGGTGACTCTGCTGGGCTAACAGACAAAGACATGGTTCTGAATCATAATGAAACACAAGCTGAAAAACTAAGACCACGCTCTTAAAGTAAAGAATTGATGCATGGTCTTTTTCTGTAGTCATACATATGACTTTAAAAAAAATCATATCATCCAGTCAGACAGGCATGTTTTTGCTTTTGTTTTACTCTGTGTTTTCCAAAGAATCAAGAGTTTTAAAGTTTAAAAGAGATTTTTTTGATGTGAGTGATGCTGATATCAAATCATGGGTTATCATTTTAGATGATCATAATATCAATGTCAATCAAAAAGATATCATTTTGATGGTTATTTTTTCCATAACTGCAGCACTATGGTTTTAAACATACTAACTAAAATCTGCTAAATGCCTAAAGCTGCCTGTTTTAGCAGCAGGAAAGCTTGGAAATAAGAAAAAGCCAAAGACATCATGGAAAAGTGTTGATGAAATTTATCATGTTACTGACAAGGAGTACCATATGTATTTTTTTTTAATTGTTCAATTGAAATATAAACAAATTATTTGGTTTTCCCATAATGAACCATTTTTGGTATATATAAAAAAAAAAACACTAGGAGTAAAAGTACATAGTGTCTCATGTTGTCCGTGCACAGATAGGAAATGGACCCAGATTCAGGGTTTCAGCTTTAGACCACAGATCTCCTGAGGACAGATTTTTTCCCCTGACCTGTAAATCAGAATCTCCTTAAATCACACCTGAAATGTCAGTCCCATTCTGTCCGCCAGCTGGATAAGTTGTAGCTCCTAAGTAGCATTAGTGATATGTGACTTCCTTTCCACAGTAAAAAGCCATCATGAGGAGTAAGGAGGAAGGGTTTTTCATGACCCGGCACAGAGCTGACAGATTTATTGGTAGAAAAGCAGCCACGATCACAACATTGCTTTTTATTATTGTTCACATCATATGGAGATGTGCTGATCTGATGAATAAACTACGGTCATGTCTGAATGTGTCATTAACATCACACTGAAATGTCGTGTTTGAATCATCATGAAACACAGTTTCACTTCCTCTCACAAACTGCAGAATTTTTTTCTTATTCTACCGTGTCCTTGGGACCAAGGAGCATACCATGCAGCAGGATTTATCTACTGATCACACCTGAAACTGATGCCTCTGAATCCTCTGATTAAAACTGAGATTATAGCTTCCCACAGCCATGAAACCATGACATTTGAGACAGAATAAATGAACATCAAAACACAAGGCAGGACATATTTGGAAATTACATTCCCAATCAGTGTTTTGCTTTGGTTTTTGCAGCCTGGTTTAAAGCAAACTGAAGCCCAGCACCAGTCTGGGACCAAGTTGTTAGGGACCGTGTTTCAATACAGTAGGGGAGACCGGGGCTTGTTGTCACATGGGTAAGTTGTCACATTGCAATTATCTTTGCCACCAGAGGGCGCAAATAAAGAGTGGGATACAAGTTTTCTTCAAATATATGGTCAGGGGTTGTGTCCTGTCTGAGAAAGAAGAGCACATTGTGAGCTGAGATAAGCACCAACTAACCATTTTGCACAACCCAAAGTATATATTTTTTTAACTTTATGTATTTTAAAATAAGCTTCTTCCAAATAAAAATCCGAGCAGTGATACATGTGGACTTGTTTGAGGAGAGATTAAGGCATCCTGTCATACCTCAGTCATTGTTCTGCTTTACGCTGACTTTAAGCCAGAGCTAAAATTAGCAAACATGGTAGTTTGGGGCAACATGTCTCAGTCATTTTGGCACGCGTTTGGACACACAACCTGACCAAATCAACACAGCTGAAACCGCATTAAATTTAATATCCAGTAAACAGTCACCCATGATGAAGTTAACAAGATATTTAATTAGTCCCACTTTCTGTGTTCCTCCTTTTTCTAACGCTGCTCGACTCAGGCATGTCTCCGTGCCCTCTCCCCGTCCTGATGCTGCTGCGGCCTTCTCTCGCCATCGTGTGGCATTGCTGTCTTTAGCCATCTCTTGATCTCTTTGATTACTTTACGAAAAATTGTAATACGCTTCGCCAAAGGCAGATTTAAATGTGAGGAGAGGAGCTGATATGATTGGCGAAAAACAAGTCTCGGCTGTGGTAAACCCACTTGACGCCTTCCCTCCTCCCTCTCTACAACTTGTGCTGCTGGGTGGAGCTGAGTTAGGGAGAGGGGAGGGATACTTACACCAGGCTGCTCCGCTCACCAAAATACCAAATTGTGCTTGGGAACGCCTTGTTTTCGCAGTGGACCTGACTTACGCCACGCCTGCGCCACGCCACTGGCGAGGCACATAAATAGAGTATCTGCATATATTTTAAGATAGGCGTGCATCCCTGCAAACCAACAGAATGAGGGTAAACATAACTGTCTTGATAATATAGCATGCCAAAAAAAAGTGAGCTCCTATGGTCAACTTGCCCCATGTATTGGGTAAGTTGACCATAGGAGTGGGGTAAGTTGAGCCACATCCCTAATACCCCCCCCCCCCCACACACACACACACACACACACACACACACACACACACACACACACACACACACACACACACACACACACACACACACACACACACACACACACACACACTCTCCACCCCAGCCCTCCCTCACCTTCTGTCTCCCTAAATAACAGTCACTTCTTCACATACGTGTGTATTTTTATCTATTATACGCTATTCAACTGGTACAATAATTATTATTATTATTATTGCATATAATTGTTAAAAAGCTGTTTTGTACAAAGTCATTTTAACATGAGAATGCCTTTAGTGATTCAGAACATTCACAGCTGTATTTTTGAAAAGAAAAAGCAACACATTTCAACAATCTGAACTGTCCATGTAGATTCTCATTCATCCAGGTCATGGTTTTCTGGAAGACTCCAAAAACAGGCGACTGGACTGTGTAGAGTTGAGAAAACATTTCGCCTCTTATCAAAGAAGCTTCTTCAGTTCTAATTATTGCAAGTGTGAGGAGCAGATATTTATCTCACTAAAGAAGGGGACGGACAAAGACTGGGAGGAGTTGAAAACAATGAATCATAGAAACCCATCTCTGGGAGTTCCCCCCCCGAGGGTCATTAACCTGAAAGGGTCGTTAACGACCCCTGTCATGTGACCACATGACTCATGCCACCTGGGTCATGTGGTTCCAGGTGTGAATGTTTGTGGAGCTTCCTGGGGAGAGAGCTGGGAACTGCATTGTAAGTGCCGGAGAGATTGTGCCTGAGTCCACCTCCTCTGTTCAGAGAAGGTTTCTCCAATCTGGTAAAGATGGCTTCTTTAACTCCTTTCAAACCATCTGTCTTCTCTAGCCAACACCTGTACATTGCTGTCCTCGAAAGAGTGACCCGTGTCCTTTAAGTGAAGGTGGACATCTGAGTCCTGACCTGAGGAAGTGGCTCTCCTGTGTTGAGCCATGCGCTTGTGAAGCGGTTTAGTTTCCCCGATGTACAGGTCCGAGCATTCCTCGCTGCACTGGACAGTCAGACAGGGTTCTCACTCAGCCGGAAAAGGAAGTCCTTTACAAAGGATTAAATTGTGCACTTACCCCAGAACAGACCCCGGTGGTAGACCTTATCACAGCCACGGAGTTAGCTATCCTTAACAACGATCTGACTGTCACAGAGGCAGAGCAACTTAGGTTGAAGGTATCAGCTGCTCTCTCGAATGCCAAAACACCTCCCTCCAACCTGACCATGCAGGAAAGAAGAGCTTTGGCATCACTGCGAAAAGGTGAAAACATCACCATCCTGCCTGCAGATAAGGGGAGATGCACTGTTGTACTCAA